GCTACTTTAAAAATATTGCTTGTAAACCAATTCATTTTACTTTCTGCAGTTTTCCGAACTGTAGGTAGATTACAATTAATTTTTAAAATGCTGTTGGTGCACATTTGGCTTCCTGGTATCTGGGTATTTTGAATAAGGCTGCTGTAAACCCTTGTGCATGTGACTCTAGGTGCCTTGCATGCATTTAACTAGATGCATACTTAAGGTGGAATGGCCAGGTCATGGGGTATACTTGTTCAATTTCAGTAGTTTCTTCTGATAAATGAAAGTGTTTAAATTTTACACAGTAAATCTGCTAATATTGAGTATTATTGCCAGTGCTTTTGTGTGTCTTACTCTAGCTCAGTAATATATGGCATCTGGAAGTTTGCATGTGGTGTCTGGGAGTGTAGTGAAGATTTCTTTGTCCCCATGTGGATATTTGATGGACTCAGTATAATTTTTGGAACGTCCATTCTCTCCTCATGGCCCTGCAGCAACAGCTTACATCAAGTGTGAGCATGTGACTGTTCCAGCCTCACCCCTCCCCACACCAGACAGGCTTACTTATTTAACAACAGGTCTCCCATCTGATAGGATAGTTCGTCTCTCCTCCTTCCTACCTTTGAAGGGTGGTTTGGCTACTGTTGGCCCTTTTCTATCTCCTATAAATTTGGTATTGGTTTGCCAGTGTTTCGAGAAATGAAACCTGGAATTGTGATGAGATTGAAGTGATGAGCTTGGAGAAAATGGACGTCTCTAAGATACAGAATTTTCCAAACAATAAGTTGAACACATTCTTCCATTTACTTAGTCTGCTTAACTCCTTTAAAATCATTTGTATTTTTTTCTTTTAAAGGTTTATACAGGTTTTCTTTGCATAAACTTGCCTAGTATATGCTGATTTTTAAATTTTGTTTTACAAATTAATAGGTAAAAATTGTATGTGTTGTGTACAACATGTTTTGATGTGTATGTCATCATATCCAGAATTCAGTAGACTTTCTATGTTCTTTAAATTATATATTAACATTTTCTAGTATATGTTGTCAGTATATTTGGTTTTTATATTGATCTTGCTTTAAGTAATCTTTTTAAATTTGCCCTTTAATTAGATGTTTGTCTCAGTTCTTTTGTGGGTGTAATTGTAATTTTTCTTTTGAATAATTAGCTAGTTAATTGATCAGTTAATTAACATCCCTATTGTACTTCTATGGGTCTCTGATATAATTGAGAATGTATGCATTGATGGTGTACACAGCTTTTTCATTCCTTTTTATTGTGTCTATAAATAATATTTATTGCCTCCCAGGATCATAGCTATTTCTTTTAGCTTTTGTGTATCAATTCTAAGTTATTCAAAGAAAAATGTTACAGTAATCAATGTTTTCATCATGATTATGCTTAGTATAATTAAAATGATATGCACAAAATCTTACATTTTAGAAATTCTTCAAGTCATATTTCACTTTAATTTCTTTGTTTTAATCATAAATAGAAAACTCTTTTATTTCTATATGTTTCTGTTTACCTATGAGTGCTACCAAGGGACATGAAAGATGATAAACTCCTTGCTTAATGTGTAAAAATGAAAATATATTACTTTAAAAGACCCAAAATCTATACCCAAAGAGAAAAATTGTTATAAGTCTTAGTGAATCAAGAATTTATGTAAAGCAAAATATATGTAAGGATTGCTGAAGAATTTTATTAATTTTGCAAAAGCAATGGGGTGTTTGGGCTAGGCATAAAAACATGTTTGTCTTAGGTTAATTGCCTTAGAAACAAAGTCAAAGATACTTACAATTGCTTTTGTGATTTTCCAGAGGGAGGAGGTGCTTTGAAAAAAGAAAGTTGGGGTAAGGGAAGCGTTAATTATTAGTATATTTCCACTAGAAATTTGATTCTCTGGTACCACAGGACAATTCTGGAACCAAGACTACATAACAGTTAGTCCTGCCTGAGGCAGGGGTTGGGGGGTAGGGGTGTTGGGCACTTTCTTTCCCATGTAAAAATAATTATGCAGTTTCATGGGTATGGTGAGTGTTAGTAATTTTTACCCCCATTTCCCTTCTTTATCCTTCCTCCCCTCCCACTAAACCCTTCTTTTTCACAAGTCTCCCCCTGCTTTCATGTCTTCTTTTCATATGTGACCCAGTGAGTTCAACTAGAATCACTTGTGTGAGCATGAATGGAGGCTGCTTACTAGAATGTGAGGACTAGTTACTGTGGCACTGGAGCATATGACAGTTAACTAGCAATGGACTCTCAGGGAGGTCTCAGACTCCTCTCCTCTTCACAGTGACATGTTGATGGGGCCAATACTGTGAAGGTCTTATGCAGATAACCACAGTTACAGTAAGTACATGTGTGCAGCAACCATAGCAGGCACAGAAGATACCATTTGCTGGGTATCTCCTCATCCTCTAGCTCTTATAATGTTTCTTATCTTCCCCAGTGTTCCTCGAGCCTTAGAAAGGGGTGATGTGGACAGCTCATTTAGGACCAAGTATGCCACAGTCATTTATTCTTGACTCTTTGGCTGGTTTTGAAGTTCTTGCATTAACCACCATCTGCTGAAATAAGAAGTGTCTTAGATGAAGGCTCTGAATGTCACTAGCCTTGGATGGTTATCAGGAATTGGGTGGGATCTATATTTTTATACTTGTTTTCTAGGGAGCCACAGCTGAGTTATAAGTAGCTCCTGGATTGGTAGATTCCATTCAGATGAGAATCATTGACCTTAGTAAAGGGCAGATGAGGGGGTAGATGTACAGGCTTGGAAAGGGAATCTCATTGAGACATCAACAGCATCTAGAACAATAAGTAAGTATAAGTAATAGATAAGTAGACATTATAACAGAGCTGTGAGCTATGGGAGAGGATAAGTAGTCCAATGTAATCTGCTTCAGGGCTTGTTTAGTTTATCTTTTTACTCACTGACACCAACATTTTCTTTCCTGAGGATGTTTGAAACCAGAGACAAGAGACTGATAAAGCAGAAGAAATGGAAAGAGTCTCATGATTGGGGATTAGTGGTGGGAGCAGTTAGAAAGGACAGAGAGACTGGGTGCACAGGATCAGAGGGACATACTATTTGGGAAAGGGTAGTACAAGCAAGATAATGAAAGTGTTAAATGAGGAGAGAATGGCTTGGAAGGAGCAAGAGTGGGATGGAGCCCAAATGGACCATGCTTCCTGATCCCAGGATATGAATGACTATTCCCAGAGAAGACTGAGAAATGCCTGATCTCATAGGAAGCCAAATTTCCCTGAAAAAGCAGAGGAAATGTTTCTCAACAGCAGCAGAGAGCATTTGGAAGCATCTACACAGTGGGGCAGTGAATGCAGGGCGCACAGAGAAAGAACTACAGGATAAAAGTGGATAGGCATATTAAAGCAAGAATTATTATGGTAGACTTAATGATTTTATGCCATCAAAACCTGTAACATTACTGTATCATCGACATTAGGGTTAACTATAATTTAAAACCCTTAACATTTCTACTTGACTGATGTTAGGGTTAGCTATAATTAAATGCTGATTCTTTCTCAACCTTACTCAATTTGCATATTTCCAGTGACAATTAAAAAGAAGAAGCTAATTAAATACTGCTTTGAATTTGCTTTAAAGGCTATAATTTTTTTTAAGAAATGAAAAAGGCCAATTGCGAATATTGAGATGGGTCTGTACATGAGCTCTGTCTCAAGGCTGCATCTCTCTCTCTCTCTCTCTCTCTCTCTCTCTCTCTCTCTCTCTCTCTCTCTCTCTCTCTCTCAAGGACCATGTTCAGGTTCACTAGAGCTACATCACCCTCCCAGGAAGGCTCAGCAACAATGACAAACCCTCACACCCTTGATTAAGAGCGACGCTGAGTTCAGTCTTCATTGTTCCTCTTGTTCTTTTGATGAACTGGTAAAGCCAGTTGGGATGTTCCAGGGTTGAGAAAACTGGACTTTGGAGGTGCAGTTTCCTACTAAGCTTCCTTCACTTTGTAGATTGTAGATTGTTTTCCTGAACCCCATGGAGGTTGTTGAATATTCATGAAGTATTAGTATTTAGCACAATGTCTGGTACATGTTACAGTCAATAATTATTTATTGAATTCATTCTGATGGGAGCCTTCCTAATTAATGGGCTAATTATTTGAGAACAGCAGTGTGTGTGTGTGTGTGTGTGTGTGTGTGTGTGTGTGGTGTCTGTGTGCCTCTGCATTCATATGCCTACAAGTTTGAAGTTGCCTACCTAGACTTTTCTTTTTTCTAGTTCATGCCTAGCACAATTATGCTCTTTAATCTCATTTGCATTTGATACCACAAAATAATAGAACCACAAACTAGAGCTTCATATAGTGAATGGCCTGTCAGGACCCAGCACTGTTGACGTGTGGTAAATAACGCATGCCTTAACTGGTGTCTTCATTAAGCTACATAAACAAGTGGTGCCCAGCCTTGTCTGTGTATCCACCCTCCCTCCTGGGTGACTCAGAGTTAGTGCTGGCTCTCACCACACAGAGGCTTACTCTTTCTAGGTCAGGGCTGGGGCACAGATTCTCAAGTCCCTCAGGAGTGTGATGTATTTCTAGGGTGTAAAACTGCTGCTCTACAGATTCTTTCCTCCCAGAACACGCTGCTATCGTTTAATGATGGAAAAACCTCTCCTGGCTTGTTCCCTTGCCTCTCGGGCCATAACTGCCTTGACCTGGTCATTTCGGTTCTGTCCTCTAGTCCTGGTTGGGACTTCTGCCTTCAATCCTGTTTTGTTCTCTGGTTGATTTGAATGTCTTTACCCTTGGTTTCCAAGTACATTGTCAAAAGGATCTTGAAGAAGTTTACTTCCTGTGGCACGCACTATTTGGGTTGAAGTGGATAATGCAGTTTCTGGTAACTTTAAGTACATTACTTCATGGCCACAAGGAACATAAAGCTGTCAGTTTTCTCATAAACCCTGTGTGCTATTTTTATTAGGGAAATTGTCGTTGAGAAACCAGAGGCTGCTTCACTGGAAAGACAAACTCTAATGACTAGGGAGAGGCAGAGAATGCTATAAATTAAAGGCCTCAGCTGCTCACTTTACATAGCCTCCTCGCCCCTTGTCCAGACACTTCTGTCCCTTCAGGAGCCAGGTAAGTTCTTCCTCAGGTTCAGCTTTAGAGCCTGTGTTTTGGGAATGAGGATGCTTGCTGGTCTAAAATAAATATATTTTATTGTGCATAGACCCTTCTTGAGGTGATTTTATTTATTTCAGTGCCCAAATGGCCAATGCAAGTCATCTTCCCCATCTTGTGTGACAGTGAGCTAAATCCTTTTGTTTCTGAGTAAGGACTCCTTGTAAAGAAACTGAGGCTGAACCTCTAACAGTCAATGTAGGCTGGTGGGTGGGATTTCCTAGCAGGAATGAGACCTAGAGTGTGAGCAGCTTGCTTTCTTCACTTTCTTTTTATTTGGGTTTCTTTAAAAGACTTTATGAAATAAATGCTAAAGAAAACATAAAGCACATTTGTACTCTACTTGTTTATTTTTTGTTCAATATTAGCTGCTCTTTGAAAATTATTTTTTGTTACTTAGTAGCAGTAAGATTTGCTCATTGTATAAGCCCAAAACAATGCAAAAAAAGAAAAGTGCAAGAAAATAAAACTACACCACCTAATAATCCCTGACTATGGATATACCACTGCCCTTTTGGAGACAATTCAGCCCACAGACTACTTTTTGTGGGGTGAGGAATCAGGGGTTAGGGGATTTAATATTTTCTGCTACTCTGGACTATACTACTCTGTTGAGACACGGGAATTGTCAGATAAGAATACAATTGTTGTCAGTATAATGAATCTGGATTGGAGAACATTGCTTGACTGTGAGGCTAATGAGGACACCTGTGCTTTAGAACTGTTTTGTCACAAGCTGGGCAGCTGGGTAAGCTGCAAGCTGGCAAGTCAAGGGTGGATCTGTTCAGAGAAACTTGTTATAAGATATGGAGGTGGGAAGCAGCTTCTGGCTGTGGATAAACAACAGGAGAAAACCATTAAGGCATTACCCTACCACCTGGGGAAATGAAATCTGATAACTACTGGAAGAAGCTAGAGCGCCAGCTTACTTCTGTCTCCTGCCATGGGGATGGGGGCAAGGATCTGGCAGCTGTTCTGAGAGGGCTCTGAACCTCAGTGTTCTGGATAAATTAAGGAAGGTGTGACCACAGCATAAAGCAGCCCAGTCCAGATGCTGTGTTGATTGCTATTGTTCTTCTAGATTGCTTGGGAACCATCATGGAGTCACTAGGCACAGCAACTGCACGGTTCGGGTTTGATCTTTTCAAAGAGCTGGATAAAACAGATGATGGCAACATCTTCTTTTCTCCTGTGGGCATCTCAACAGCCATTGGCATGATCCTCATGGGGACTGGAGGAGCCACTGCCTCTGAGTTACAGAAGGTGGGGAGTTTCCTTTGATTTTCAGGAAGACTTGGTTTTGGGGTTTAGCCCTCTACTCTAGTGTTGAAAATGTACTCATCTTGACCTGCTGGTCAGAAAACCGATGATGAAGATGTGGAATAGTTTCAGGTCTGTCAGGGAAGGCCTCTTCCTTCTCTAGATGCCACAATACCATTTTCTCTTTGATTCTGGGAATTCCTTTAAGTGGGAGTGTGATGAGTGGCCTTGTCAAAATCTATTATTGTCATAGTTAAAGATAGAATATGAATGCCTAAGGCCACTGAGATCACCTATGTAATTTCTATTTGGTCTACCTGACGTATGGAAGAGGAAGACCTAAGTGAGTCCTTGACTAGGCTCCTTGGAAGAGATCAGTGGGCAACCAAGACATTTCCCTGGTTTGTCAAGGAGATGCGGCTGCCTGTACAGCCTTGAAAGGACTTTTGTGCTAGCCCTCCATTGGCTATGTGAAATTTCTCTCTATTATGACAATAATGACAATGTTTTCTCTCTACCAGGTACTTTACTCTGAAAAAGGTACAGGAAGCTCCAGAACAAAGTCAGAAGAGAAGGAGGTGGGCACGTGTTTTACACCCTTTAGTGGGATTAATTTTGGGTGTAGGATAAACATAGAGAAGCACTAGGAAAATCATAGAAGGTGTAATAAACCTCACTTACTATCAAACAGTAGTCACTGGAGCCAAATAATATTTCTGGGCATATTAGTTCATTTTCTGTTGTTATAACAAAGTACTAGAGTCTGGAAGCTTTATAAATAAGAGTTGACTTAGTAAGCTCAGGGTTTTGGAGGCTGAAAGTTCTAGACTGAGTGTCTTGATGTCTTTGGTTTCCATGGAGATTTATCTGAAATGCATTATAATGTGGAGAATTAGGGGTGAACACCAGTGACACACAAAAGTGGATGGACATTGAAGACAAACAGGAGGGAATGGACACTGGTGACAAACAGAAGGGAGATGAACACTGGTGACACACAGGGCAATGGACACCAGTGACACCCAGATAAGGGGATAAACACCAGTTACACACAGATAGAGAGATGGACACTAGTGACACCCAGATAAGGGGATAAATACCAGTTACACACAGATAGGGAGATGGACACTAGTGACACACAGAGAGTGGGTGGACACTGGTGACACACAGAAGGGGTTTAACACTGGTGACACATAGAAGGGGATGAACACTGGTGACACACAGAAGGGTATGAACACTGGTGACACACAGAAGGGGCTAAACTTGTAGGCTGGTCTTACTTCATAAAAGATGCTCTTACAAGAACCATCTTACTTTGAGAAGCTACCATTAATCTCTTCTGAGGGAAGTGCCTTTGGTGACTTAATCAACTTTCATACAACTTTCATACAAGGTACCTTAGGTGTTTCATTACCTCTTAACATGACTATACCGGGGTTAGACTTTTAGAACATAAACTCCTGGGAGAAAAACCAATCCAATCACAGCATTTGGACTGTACACAAACAATAAATTCTCAATAATAAGAGGAGATCATAAGTTTAACAGATAACAGCCACTATAAATGCTGATACACTGAGAAGTTCTTATAAGAGCTTTGGAGTTACAGAGAATTGGGTTGAGTTCTGGCTTGGGCATGTCAGGACTATGGGACTCTGGCAAGTCATTTCCTTTCATCTAGATCATACATTTAACTCACTTAGCGCTGATGGGAGCTGTGAACAATATTATTGCTAAACTGAATTAATATTTTGCCCTTCCTGCTAATATTTCCTTAAATATTATCAGTGTAGGAACATTGGTCATCTTCCAGATCTAGTGTTATAGCATTTCTCACTCGATCTTACTAAATTCAGGTGGATTGGGCCCATTAGGTCAGGGTTAGCATCTGGAGGAGCTCTCAGAAGGCACAATTACTCTGACAGTAATCACAACCCAGTACCTCTCATAAAGTCATACTTTCAACCTCCCAACACGGTGAGCTGTTCACTTCATAATCCCACAGTGCTAGGTTGTCCCGGTGGCCTGGTTTCAGTTGAGGACTTGGATTTCCTTCCCTGGGATTTTTAACTGAGTTATGTCAAGTGACTGCTCCCATGTGTACTCAAGTGAGATATGCAGTGGCTTCTAGAGTATTTCTCTTCCTTGGCACGGTAGTCCCTGCAGAATCTTTCTACAGATTACCCAAGGCATCTCATCTGGGACAGAAGCCCTTATCCCGGGTGAAGAGGTTTATGATTGGATGGAAGTTGCCTTTCAGCCTTGGGAGGTATAACCTGCCCTCTTCCACCATGAGCCAGTTCTGTCCTTTACCAGGAGGATTTGGGAGCTGAGGACATACACAGTAGAGGTACTGACTGCGACAAGGATGCTGGAGCTGGAGTACAATGGAGAGGCCAGCTAATCCAATCTCTTTATCGATAGATGAATAAACAGATGAGGAAAGTCCAGTGGCAGGCTGATATGTACTACTTGATGATCACATGAATTCAGAGTATTCTGAACTTTTTTGGTCCAAAGTGATATTAAAATCTCAAGAGTATGTAGGGATGTAGAAGAAATAATGCAAGAGTACCTCTCCTAGTGTGAGGAAAATGACATAAGTCTCTTACTTTGCCCTGGCTGTGGGTGGTGCTTAGTCAAGTGAGTACTTGAAATGCATCTGGCTTGACTTGAGATATACTAAAAGTATAAAGTATTTACTGTATTTCAGGAGCTTAGTTTGAAATATTCATGTTGAAATCATTTATTTTATGTGTTGCATGTTGAAACGGTATTGTGTCTGTCATATAGGAACACATGCTTTATTTTTCTTATATTTACATACTGAAATGATATTCTAGATAAAATATTAGTAAAATTAATTTAATTTCTTTATTTTGATTTCTTTGAAAACAGATTTATAACTATAATCCATGTATTCTGAAATTTACCTATTTCAGTTGTAATTCAGTGGTTCTGTAAAGTTACAGAATTGTTTGACCATCAGGATCACATTTAGAACATTTTTATCACCCTAAAAGGGATCTATCTCCATAGCCATCAATACTCATCCCAATCTCTCCTTTCCCTGCTTCCACTCATCATTTTTTCCTTCATCTTTAGGACCTAGAAAGGTTTTTTTTTTGTTTGTTTGTTTTTACGAGACAGGGTTTCTCTGTATTGTTTTGGAGGCTATTGGTCCAGCCCGGCCTTGAACTCACAGAGATCTACCTGCCTCTGCCTCCCGAGTGCTGGGATTAAAGGCGTGCGCCACCACCACCCGGCCCTAGAAAGTATTTACTGACTGTTAACTATATTAGACTCTGTATGTCCAAATGACGCTGTAACGATAAGTGACACACAATTACTGAAAGTAAATCTAAGTATTTATTGTAGAAATTACTCACAAGATACCAAACAAGTAACCCAGATGAGACAAGCAGTTTTCCGCTGCCGAACCGGAAGCCGAACTCCGGGAAAAGAGAGCGAGACTTCCTGTGTGCTGTCTTTTATACCTTCCCCCGTAACGCCCCCTAGCCATGCCCAAAAGTGGGCCTGGCTAGTGACGTAGTTCCGCCTACGTACGTATATGTCTTTACGTCCAGCCGTATATGTCTTTAGTCCTGCCTAAAGTGGGTGTGGTTGGCGGTGTGGTAAACCGCCCTTTTATTACCTCATCTGTATGCGCCTCTAATAAGTCACATGTTTAATGGCGGCATACAGACTTCCTCCTACAAGACTCAATTAAAAATATCCCTTCTGTCTGAGTCTAAACATATATCCTTTGACCAGCATTTCTCCCTTGAATTTTTCCTCCTATCTCCCCCACCTCTGGTGAACAGCATTTCATTCTCTACTTCTGTGAGAACAACAATTTTTGCTTCTCAACATGAGTGGGACAATGTGGAATGTCACGGTTGGCTTTTTTTCAATGCTTGGCCTATATCATACAACACAGAATCATCCTAGTGTTTTCATATCGTCTCAAAGGACAAGATATTCTAATGGCTGAGTTGTATCTAATTGTGTGTATGCGCCTTTGAGTCTGTGACATTTTCTTTAGCTACTTAACCTATTTTTTAACCTTTATAGTATAATTACTAGGGAGTTTATTTTAACATGAGGTTTACATCTGTGGGAAAATGATAATAAAAATCGAATGCTACTAAGTCATTCGCTAAAGGGAAATGTCACTATTAATAGTTATTGTAGGTACACTTCATAATTTCATGCAACTGCCCAAAGAGACTAAGACTTAAAATCCCATGGCCTTACAGTTTCTGGGCATCTGTGAATACATGCATTGCATCTTTATTTTCTGTTTCTACTGGTGAGCATATGACTTTTCTATGTCATTGGAAGGGGTTTTATTAACAGAATTTCTAGTGGTAAAGTTTTTTTGTACAGTAATATACTTAGTCACAATAGTTTAAGCACATTTGGTTTACTAATATTGTGAGTTCATGAGTACAGAGGTATTGTCATGCCCTGAAGACACTTTGATCATGGTTCTCACAACCTCTGGTTCCCTTATGTGTAAAAAGCTGTTTACTCTAGTTACTCTCTATATTCCCTTTTAGTGACTTTTGATAGTTTGGTTATGATGTGTGTCTTCAAAGGTCTTTGTAGCTTTATCTTGGAGATCTTTGAGTATCTGAATGTCTATACTTGTTGAGAGCTAGACTGATCCAAGACTTTCTCAGAGGCCCAATGAAAGGAAATATTCTCCCCTCTCTCTTTCTCTCCCTTCTTCCCTCCCTCCCTCCCTCCCTCCCTCCCTCCCTCCTTCACTCCTTTTTTCTCTTCCCTCCAAGTCTCCATCTTTTTCTCCTTTCCCCTTTCCTCTTCCCTTCCTTCTTTCCATTTTTTTTGTTGTTGTTGAGATAGGGTCTCACTATATATTCCTAGTTGGCCTGGAACTTGCTATATAAACATGCTGGCTTTGAACTCACAGAGATCTGTTTGCTTCTCCCTTCTGAGGGCTGAGATTAATGACATGTACCACTACACCCAGCCTGGGATATAAATCTCAATAAAATTGTTGAGATGCACAAGATCTACTAAACAAACAAACAAAAACACTTTTTTGGGGATTGTCTGTGAGAAGCTTGTATATATAATACAGTTGGATATTTATGAGTTGCTACTTCATCATTCATCCTGTTGATTTTTAGTGCCACTGCAGGACTCATCACACAGGTGCCTAGTTTGTGTCATAGCTTAAATTCAGAAGAGACACAGATGAGTACTTCCATGGTACCATAGGAGTCAGAATGCTGGACATGTTTCATTCTTCTCTTTCTCTCTTCTTCTTGGGGCAGAGTTAGGAGTAGGCTCACCTCTGCAGACTCCATGCTGTGTGATTGGAAGGTGCTGTGGGGAGTGAGTTCCAAGGACTTTCCTGTTAATTTCAGTGTACTCCACTTCACCCTCACTTGAAATGGTTTGGAAAGTTTCCCGAGGCAAATTTGTTAGCATGAAGTCTCTTTGTGGGAGGCTTGGGCCACCTATTCTGCTGGTGTCGTTACTTTGTGGTTTCCTTAGTTATGATTTACACATGGTGGATGATGTCAGGCTGTTCAACTCTACTATGTTTGAATGACTGTGTAGCGTTCTAAGTTTATGTTTCTGGTAGCCACTGGAAGATTCTCTTCTCATAGTCTAATAGTTCTATTGGCAAGCTGGTTTAGTTGACATCTTTGGTAGTGATTTACCACTTTTTTCATTTAAAGAACTTGCCACTATTCGTCTAATCATGGATTTCTTTTATTTACTGTAATTTCAGAATAAAAATTCATGTATTTCATGTTATAGTTTCAGGAGTCACTTATCTTTCTTTCAATATGGAGTTCCAGGGATTGAAGTCAAGTCATCAGGCTTGTTGGTGACAACCACCTGCACTTGAACCATCTTGTAGTCCTTTCGTGAGTTTTTGACATAAAATAAGTCCTAAAAATGGTCATGAATTATAATTTCTAATATTTTGTTGATAAGGTCAGCAAGGATTTTTGCTTTCTTTATCTAATTTAACTATTTTTCCCTCAAAACCTAGCATTCAAGACTAATTAATTAATTTTTTTGTATTAAGAGGACTCATACTTTTCATTAAGTGGTGAAAATTCTCAGCCACTTAAGTTTTGAAAAATATAACTTCCCCATTTACTTCTTCATTGCCTTTTAAAAAAATGCCAGATTTCTTATTACCATTTTTTGTCTTCTGAGGAACATGGAGACAATTGTTTAGAGCTATCTTCAGGTCACCAATTCAGTACTGACCACCTATCTGACCATGTAGTGGACTTTGACTTAAATGTGGACCAAATATAGGAGCTGAAAACTATAGGCAATCACTTGCTTCCTAAACACATCTTTTTCTCCTTTTTATTGAAATAAATTCTTTTCTCATACAGTATATCTTGCTTACTGTTACCCTCCTCTTCTCCTCTCAGCTCCTCTACACCATCCAGATCCTTCTCTTTTTGTCTTTTATTAGAAAAGAATGAGCTAAATTAAGAGAACAAAAAATAAAATATAGCAAAATAAAATTGAATCCTCACACAGAAGTTGAACAAGGCAAACCAAAAAAAAGGAAAAGAGTTCCAAGAGAAGGTACAGGAATCAGAGACCAGCTTATTCACACACCCAGGAATCCCATAAAATTAGTAAACTGGAAGACTGTATACACATACATACATATACAGAGGACCTGGTATAGACCTGTGTCAGCTCTGAACTTGCTGTTTCAGTCTCTGTGAGTTCATATGAGTCTTGATCCATTGATTCAGTGCCTTGTTATCCTGATGTCCTCTATCTTCTGTCTCTTTCACTCTTTCCATCTCTTCTTCCTAGGGTTGTCTGAGCTTGAGGAGAGGGATTTGTTGGGGACATCCCATCTAGAGCTGAGTGTTCAAAAGATTTGCTGTCTGCATAATGCCCAGCAAAGGGTCTCTGTATCTTTTGCCATTGGTTACAGGAGGACGCTTCTTTGATGATGAATGAATAAGGCACTGGACTATGAGTATAGCAGAATGCCAGTAGGAGTTATTTTGTTGCTCCTCTTTTTAGACAAGTGGTATTTGCTTTTACCCTAGGACTCTGAGCTATCTAGTCTTTGGCTCTTGGTCACCCAAATGTCAGGAATGGGTTCCATTCTGTGGAGTTGGCCTTAAGTCAAATAAGACATTGGTTGGCTACTTCCACAAGTTCTGTTCTACCATTGTTCTAGCATATCTTACAAGTAGGACAGAATGTAAGTCAAATGTTTTGTGTCTGGATTTGTGTTTATGTATCTCTTTTGGCAGCTTGCAGAGTATCTTCCTGCACCAAGGGCACTAGAACACAAGGGTGAAGTTTCCATGGAGACACCAGATAAACTTTTCCATGTTCAATGACTTTATGGGTGTTGTCCTTGACAATTGGGCCCAGTGTCAGTTTGCAGAGAGTACTCTATTGCCTTGGCAACGTCTGTGTTGTTTGGGGATTTCCATAGGACACTCCTAGCCAAAAGATAAATTGAATGCAACCCAGTCCTGCTACTGGAAGCCTTGTTTGATGACAAGAGATGGACAGTTGGAACTATGTCTTTTCCATTATTAGCAGACTTCATTAGGATTGCTTCCATATATTTTATGAAGATTTCAATTTACTGTTTCCATATTATCCCTCAAATGCCTTTCAATTCCATCTGTCTCTTCTTTCATTCCCTCCCTCAACCCTATCTCCTCCCTCATTTTACCTGATCCTCCTGTTCCTGTCCACACACACTCCCTTCCACTTGTAAAATATATTCTACTCTCCTTTCCCAGGGAGATCATCCTCCCTAGTCCCTTCTTCTATACCTAACCTCTCTCAGTCTATGGATTGTAGGAATGAAGATGGGCTACCATTTATTTAATGGCTCCTATTCACCTGTAAGTGAATACATGCCATATTTACCTTTCTGGGTCTAAGTTACCTCACTTGGGGTAAATTTTTTTCAGTTCCATACATTTACATGCAAATTTCATGATGTCAGTTTTTTTTTTGGTTTTACGAGACAGGGTTTTTCTGTATTGTTTTGGAGGCTGTCGGTTCAGCCCAGCCTCAAACTCACAGAGATCCACCTGCCTCTGCCTCCCGAGTGCTGGGATTAAAGGCATGTGCCACCACCTCCTGGTATGATGTCAGTTTTTTAAACAGCTGAGTAATACTTCATTGGGTAAGTGTTCCACATTTTGTGTATCCATTCTTCAGTTGAGAGACATCTAAGTTTTTTCCAACTTCTGGCTATTACAAATACAGCCACTATGAGCATAGTTGAGTAAGTGTTCTTATGATAAGATAGATCATCGTTTTGGGTATATGCCCAAGAGTGGTGTAACTGTGTCTTGAGGTTGATTGATTCCCAATTTTCTGAGGAACTGCTGTAGTGATTTCCACAGTGGCTGTACAAGTTTGCACGCCTACGAGCAGGGTAAATATGATTCCCTTCTCTGTTTAGACCTGAACTTCATTTTTAATTGTATTATTTGGTTTGCTGATATCTAGTTTCTTATGTTCTTTATATATTTTGTGTATTAGCCATCTATTGGATGTGAAGTTGGTGAAATTGTTTTCCCATTCCGTAGGCTGCAATTTTGTCCTATTGATGGTGTTCTTTGCCTTAAAGAAGCTTTTCAGTTTCATGAGGTCCAATTTAAGGTTTATCCTTGTGCCTGTGCTATTGGTGTCCTGTTCAGGAAGTTGTCTCCTGGGCCAACTCATTCAAGGCTAGTCCCTACTTTCTCTTCTATTTGGTTTAGTGTATCTGGCTTATTCTTGAGGTTTTTTTTTTGATCCACTTGATTGTAAGTTTTATGCAGGGTGCAGCCATTCAGTTTTTACTAGCATCATTTGTCGAAGATGCTGTCTTTTACACATGTTTTCAAGGACCAGTAGCCTCTAGAAACCTTTTCTTACATGGTGGAGCTGATGTGAACATCTAAACGTTTGTGTATGTGTTGCAACTGTTTGTTATTTCCCCCATAAGTTTGATTTGGGACTTGTTTCTTCACAATGTGTAATTCTGGAGCATGATCTTGTATTTGGTTGATGACCTTGGGGACACAGTGAAACCTGTGATGTAGTCAATATTGTGATGAAGCTATCAAGGCTACTACCAAGATAGTATAAACTAAAACTTCAAACCTGTTGGAAAACAGGGTTTTCTTCTTTTCCCTTATTTGTAGGTCAGCTTACTCACAAATGACTCACTAGGAAATTAGTGCAAGTTGAACTCTTAATTACCACAGGGTGTGATGCACCTGACCTGTTCATCACATGCCCCTACAACCTAAGCATCCAGAAACCGATTGATAGCCACTTAGTTTCATAACAACAAGGAGGCAGCAAAGGTCAGACCCATAGATACTGTCAGAGCAGTGTGGATATGCATTTTCAATTCAAGTGTCTTCAAATAGTTATTAGTTATTTGCAAAAGTTAGCTATTTTTTCTGGTACCGTGGTAGGCAGTTAGGCATGAGAAATGAAAATAAGAGACACAATAGAGAATTAAATAGACATTTAGGCATTATATTGTACAAGAAATGGGTTCTCGGTTCTCATGTAGCATCAGTAATAGACCACTCACTTTAGAACTAAGCTGCTTCTATTTGCATCCTCTGTGAGTTAAAACTACTAGAGTCCATTCAACAGGCCATGAGACAATGTTCTGCTCACTCGAATTTGCCACACAATGTCTACAGTACACAGTCAGAAAGCTGGTACACCCTATACAAGATATCTAGAAGATTTTGGTAATTGTTTCAAAACAAAGACAAATTTAATTTTAGTTCAGTTTGCAGCTCTGGTAACTGCTTACTCGATGAAGAATTGCTTTTATTATTCACCATTTAAAAGAGAAATATCCAAGTGTCAGTGATGAGAAATTATCTAGGGGATTATTTCTATTTCTCAGGTTTAGAGTCTGTGGGCAGATAAAAACAAATGTATGAATCACTTAGTGAGACTCAAAGTTATAGCCAGAGCAGAAAAGAAAGATCTGTGGTGTTGGGGCTCTTGGAGGATTCTCTGTGAAGCTCTGATTGGGTGTGACTGACTTCTGGGTGTCTGGACATTTCTTCTTTACTCTCAGTTTGCTCATCATAGGAAGGGCTCTAGCTCTTGGAAGAGAATGTAGGCTTGCTTTCTCCAAGATAACCCACTGAGTTTTTGTCTTGATTTTGAAGATTAAGAAGACAGAAGAAGTCCATGATCAATTCCAAAAGCTTTTGACTGAAATAAGCAAATTCCCTAGTGGTTATGAACTGAACATAAGCAACAGGCTGTTTGGAGAGAAAACATACCTCTTCCTTCAAGTAAGTTCTGTTGTGTCTGCCACATCTGTGAGTGGTAACAACAAATGGCCACTATCCCTTCTAGGACTGAGTCCTGGGGCCATGCTGCTAAGTTGGCTGCTTGTCATGGTCCTGTTTTACTAGTCTTTCTGGCCTACTCTCCAGATATGCAGTTCCTTTTTGAGTTCAGGGAGTCTATATCTGACTTTTGCTTTAATCACATTGCACCTGCATGACAGCCCATGGAGGGAATGAGGACCTAAAATTCAAATTTGAACATTAGTTTTCCTAATGAACAGACACATTTATTAAGAGGTATTTGTATTTGATAAATAAATTCTTCAAATCTCTTTCTATTTCTTCCCTATCTCTCCTAAAGAAATACATAGATTATGTTGAAAAATATTACCATGCATCTCTGGAGCCTGTTGATTTTGTAAATGCTGCAGATGAAAGTCGAAAGAAGATTAATTCCTGGGTTGAAAGACAAACAAATGGTAGAGTATGGATGGGTTTTTCACCAAAAAGCACTTCTTGATTACCAGCTGTGACTGAAGTCTTGGACTTGAGGCTGAGTAGATGCCAGGTGGATGAGCTTTGGGAGGAGCTAGAGATATGTACAGGCAAGGATATGCATGCAGGTTGGATGGAGTACTGCGAGGGATGGATGGTTTTATATGTATGGAGAGATGCAACAGTGGGAATTGCTTGCACAAACTGTGAATCTCACTGTCTTTGCAGTTCCTGGGCTGGCATCATGCTTGTCTTTAGTTTATCTCTGAGTAATAACCTTTGTCTCTGAGTCCAGAGCTCCAAGAGCAAATGACATAGTTTCCACTTTCTTTGTTAGGTGAGGCACACACTTCTCTGTCTGCTACCTACAGCTAGGGCCACTCAGGCCCTCTCCTATTTGAGCATTTTGTATGGATGATTAAATCTTAAGACACCTCTACAGTAACTTTTGAGGACTATCTCCCCTACCTTTTCCTTATCATTCTCTATTAGGAATCAAACATATTAGAAATATTAAGATGGAAATACTCTTTGTGTGAGAAATATGTAATATCTATAGTTTTCTATTACCACTTTTAATGAGATTTGTCATGACAATGAATGTTTTTCTTTGTATTTTATCTAAAGAAAGAAATAAAACAACCAGAAAACAAGGGTTATGGGAAGGTTAACTAACAGAAGTTTTCAGTATTTAGTGTAGTGTGAACTGAACAAGAATCCAAAATGCAAGTTTCTGGGACTGAGGAGATGCACAGACAGCATGAATACCAGAGTTCAGATCTCAGAGCCTATGTAAAAGCTGAGCATAGTGGTGTGTATGTAACTGGCATTGGGAACGTCAGGGTGGAAACAGATTGACATTTGCTGGCTGGCTAGCCTCCTTGAATTGGCGAATTCCTGGTTTGGGGAGCAACCAGGTGTCAAGGTGGTGTGTGAGAGAGGAAGGCAATTTGATGTTGGACTTTGGGGTGCACAGGTGAATACCTCCCTCATATACACACTTCACATTCTGTTTCTTATAAATAATTTCTGAATCACAGGTGAGGATTCTTACTTGTTGACTAGGAAAGAATAAAGGCTGAAACAGTGCTTAAGACATGTCAGGTAGTGATTACAGGTCTACACATATTAAACTACTTGCTCATTTCAACAACTCCATGAGACATATTATGTTTCTATTTTATAAATGTGAAAACTGAGCCACTGAGAGTATAAATAAGTTGCCTAGGATTCCTTAGTACAGCTGCATGGAAAACAGAGACTATATGAGAATTTCCACAGTGACTCTGCCAGCAAATCTTTGGTGCTCAAGGTGTTGACTTGCTTCAGTGTTAATAGTTATCCAAGTCCACCTGCATCCATTCATGGCGCACAAATAGTTTGTGGTTTGCAAGATGAACCGGTCTTTTTTCTTTCTCTGTTTTCAGAAAAAGTCAAGGACCAGTTTCCAGAAGGCTCTTTGAGCAGCTCCACTAAGCTGGTGCTCATTAATACAGTTTATTTTAAAGGCCTGTGGGACAGGGGGTTTGAGAAAGAACATACCAAGCAGGAGGACTTCTGGCTGAATAAGGTATGGTCCTTTATATATGTGGTCTGCTCGCATCTGTCATTTGGCCAAATTCAGTAACTCAGGTCTTTGGCACTACTGGAAGCTGTATTATTTTCACAGGCTACTTGGGTGGCATCTGATTTCGGTCTTAATGTTTTTGCCTCTGCTTATTTGTTGCAGAGCACAAGCAAACCTGTGCAGATGATGACCCAGTGTAGCTCCTTCAGCTTCACCCTTTTAGAGGACCTGCAGGCCAAAATTGTGGGGATTCCGTATAAAAACAACGACCTCATCATGTTTGTACTTCTGCCCAATGACATAGATGGTCTGGAGAAGGTAAGTCTTTGGCATTTCCTGGACCAATACCACTTTTTAACACTCTGTATTGCATCTCTTGTACCTGGGGAGCCTGGGAACAGGGCTTTTGAACAGAATTTGATGCCTGGCTATGTTACTTGGGAAGTATTTCTCACTCTGTGAAGTGGCTACCAGCTGATCTCTATTGAGGAATAGACTTTGTTGAGAATAACTAGAATGCAATTGCATTGAGATGAGCTAAATGAACATTTTAAGAAGTATAGGTGGTGGTTCTAAAGAATCTCTACCATTCTGAGGAGTCATTAATGTCTATGAACTCTTTGTCTGGAAAAACCATATGCATATGTATAGAACATTTGTGTGCAATTCATCAAAGCCCTTGGGTTTTGCATATATTCCTTGAACCTAATTCTTTACTTAGGTCTTTTCATTTTCTTTTCAAAACAACGACGGCAAGACTAGTGTTTTATATTCTGGACACCAGGAATATATAGTTGCAAATACTTATTCTTTAAATTGTTTCCCAACCATAAATTCTCCCAACTTCTTTGTTCTTCAGTGTTCTAATCTAAGAATTTGGCCTCCCTGGGACTTGATATGTAACATTTTCTGGTGACTAAGGAAGTGGAGCCTAGAACACGTGGAGCATGTAGAAAGAACTATGTAAATTTAATCTGTGCTGTGGAGTTTTGCTTACAGCTTTGTAAGTTGGAAACATTTTGGAACAGAGTGAAAACATGTATTGGAGCTTTACACACACACACACACACACACACACACACACACACACACACACACCCTGATACAAAAGCCTCTTTCTGGGCATCATTGAGATGAAGTGAATCAGAAGGAGAAAACTGACTTTGCTAGTTAAATCATCAGTTCCAACACTGAATCTAGTAGGGTGCTAGTTTGAAATTAATAGTAATTGTTGATTTTCTTTTTTAAAATTTTTATTAATTTATTTTTACATTACAACCTCAGTTCCCCATCCTTCCTCTTCTTCCATTATCCCCACTGCCCACCCACCTCCCATCTGCTCCTCAGAGAGGGTAAGGTCTCCCCTAGGATGTCTACTAAGTCTGACCCATCATCTTGCTGAGGCAGGACCAAGGCACCTCTCCACCACCCACACCCCTGTGTCTAGGCTGGGCAAGGTATCTCTCCATATAGAATGGGCCCCACCAAGTCAGTTTGTGCTTCAGAGTTAGATCTTGGACTTACTACCAGTGACCTCATATATTGCACCAGTCACACTATTGTCACCTATATTAAGGGAGTCTTATGCAGGTTCTCCATTTGTCAACCCGAGTCAGTGATCTCTCATTAGCTTGGGTCTGCTGATTCTATTGGTTTTCCCATTATGGTCTTGACTCCTTTGTTCATATTGTCACTCCTCCCTCACTTCAATTGTACTCCAGGATCTTGGCCCATTGGTTAGTTGTGGATTTCTGTATCTGCTTCTACCTGTTTCTGGAAGAGGGTTCTAGCTTCTCTAGGGTTGTGGATTGTGTGCTGGGTATCTTTTGGTTTATGCCTGGTATCCACTTATGAGTGAGTACATATATTTGTCTTTCTGGTTTTGGGTTACTTCTTTCAGGATTTTTTCTAGTTCTGGCCGTTTGCCTGTGTATTTTAGGATGCCATTGTCTCTTACCACCAAGTAGTATTCCATTGTGCAAATATACCACATTTTTTTACCCATTCTACAGTTGAGGGACATCTAGGTTGTTTCCAAGATCTTGCTGTTATGAATAATGTTGCTATGAACATAGTTGAGAAAATATCCTTGTGGTGTGAATGTGCCTCCTTCAAATATATGCCCAAAAGTGGCATTGCAGGGTCTAGAGGAAGGTTGATCCCTAATTTTCTGAGCAATCACCATACTTATTTCCACAGTGGCTGTTCAAGGTTGCACCCCACCAGCAATGGAGAAGGGTTCCCATTTCTCCACATTCTCTCCAGCATAAGCTGTCATTGGTGTTTTTGCTCCTAGCTACTCTGATCAGTGTAGGATGGGATCTCAGAGTGATTTTTATTTGCATTTCCCTGATGGCTAAGGATGTTGAGTATTTCCTTAAGTGTCTTTCGGCATTTGAGAATCTTCTGTTGAGAATCCTTTGTTTAGATCTGTGCCCCATTTTTAAATTAGATTATTTGGTAGTTTGATGTCTAGTTTTTTGAGTTCATTTTATATATTGGATATCAGCCCTCTGTCAGATGTGGGGTTGGTGAAGATCTTTTCCCATTGTGTATGGAGCCATTTTGTCTTGTTGATTATATTCTTTGCTTTATATAAGCTTCTTGTTTTCAGGAGCTTCTATTTATTAATTGTTTCTCTCAGTGTCTGTGCTACTGGTGTTTTATTTAGGAAGTGGTCTCCTGTGCTTATGCTTTCAATTGTATTTCCCACTTTCTCTTCTATGAGGTTCAGTGTGGATGAATTTATGTTAATATCTTTGATCCATTTGGACTTCAGTTTTGTGCATAGTGGATCTACTTGCATTCTTCTACATGTAGACAGCCAGTTATTCCAGCATTATTTGTTGAATATGTTTTCTTTTTTTCCATTTTATATTTTTAGCTTCTTTGTCAAAAAATCAGGTGTTCATAGGTGTGTTGGTTGATATTGAGGTCTTTGATTTGATTACATTTGTCCACCTGTCTGCTTTTATGCCAATACCAAGCTGTTTTCATTTCTATAACTCTATAGTAGAGCTTGAAGTTAGGGATGATGATGCCCCAGATGATTTTTTATTGTACAGGATTGTTTTGGCTATTCTGGGTTTTTGTTTTTCTATATGCAGTTGAGTATTGTTATTTCAAGGTCTGTGAAGAGTTGTGCTGGGATTTTGATGGGGATTACACTGAATCTGTAGTTTACTTTTGGTAGGATTGCCTTTTGTTTTTGGTTTTATGAGACAGGGTTTCTTTGTATTGTTTTGGAGGCTGTCGGTCCAGCCCAGCCTCGAACTCACAGAGATCTGCCTGCCTCTGCCTCCCGAGTGCCACCACCGCCCAGCTAGGATTGCCATTTTTACAATGCTGATCCTACCTATCCAAGAGATTGGGGGGATCTTCCCATTTTCTGATATTTTCTTTAATTTCTTTCTTTAAAAACTTGAAGTTCTTGTCATACAGGACTTTCATTTGTTTGGTTAGAGTTACCCCAAGATATTGTATGTTATTTGTGCCTGGTCTTTTTTTTTGTCTGGGTGACTATTGATAACTGTTTCTATTTCCTTAGGGATTATAGGGGCATTTTAGTTGTTTATTTGTTCTTGATTTAATTTTGGTATGTGGTACTTATCTAGAAAATTGTCCATCTCTTTAAAGTTTTCCAGTTTTGTGGAGTACAGGATTTTCTGGATTTCCTCAGTGTCTGTTATGTCCCTGTTTTTTTTTTCTTTCTGATTTTGTGAATTTGGATATTCTCTCTGTGTCTTTTGGTTAGTTTGGATAAAGGTTTGTCTATTTTGTTGAATTTCTCAAAGAACCAACTCTGTCTTATTGATTATTTGCATTATTTTCTTTGTTTCTGTTTTTACCCATTTCAGCCCTAGCACTTTCAGTTGTTCTGTTAATTTAGTAGTAGTATGGGATTTTTCCAGATTCTTTATGGAGGTGTTTAGTGCTTTGGACTTTCCTTTCAGCACTGCTTTCATTGTTTCCCGTAAGTTTGGGTATGTTGTACAGTCATTTTCATTAAATTTCAGGGAGTCTTTTCTTTCTTTCCTCTTCCCTTCCTTCCTTCCTTCCTTCCTTCCTTCCTTCCTTCCTTCCTTCCTTCCTTCCTTCCTTCCTTCCTTCCTTCCTGCCTTCCTGCCTTCCTGCCTTCCTGCCTTCCTGCCTTCCTGCCTTCCTGCCTTCCTGCCTTCCTGCCTTTCTTTCTTTACGCAGTGGTGATTCAGTTGATCATTGTTCAATTTCCATGTGTTTGTGGGCTCTCTGAAATTAATGTTGCTGTTGAATTCTAAGTTTAATCTAGGGTAATCTGATAGGGTACAGGGGTTTATTCCAATTTTTTTTGCATCTGTTGAGGTTTGATTTGTTACCGAGTATGTGTTCTGTTTTTGAGAAAGTTCCATGAGGTGCTGTAAAGAAAGTATATTCTTTTGTGTTTGGTAGAATGTTCTATAGATTTCTGCTAAGTCCATTTGAGTCAAAACATCTGTTAGTTCCTTTATTTGTCTGCTAAGCTCTGTCTGGCAGATCTGCCCAGTAGTGAGAGTGGAGTGTTGAAGTCTTCCACTATTAATGTGTGGGACTTGATTTGTGATTTAAGCTTTAGTAATGTTTCTTTTACAAATACGTTCAGTATTGAGATTTCCTCATGATGAATTTTTCCCGTGATGAATCCTTCTTTATCTTTTTTATTGATTTTAGTTTGAAGTCTATTTTGTTAGGTATTAGGATAGCTAACCCAGCTTGTTTCCTAGATCAATTTGATTTAAAAGTTTTTTTTTCTAATCCTTTACTTTGAGGTAATATCTGCCTGTGAAATTGAGGTGTGTTTCTTATATGCAGAAGGATGGATTCTGTTTTCATATTCAATCTGTTAGCCAGTATCTTTTTATAGGTGATTTGAGATCATGTATATTAATGGATAATAATGACAGGTGATTACTAGTTCCCGTAATTTTTTTTTTTTAGTTGCGGTGCCCAAGCCACAAGCAACTCCGAGGTATCAAGAAAAGAAGGACCAGATGTCCAGCTTTTTGTACTAAGAAGTGTCTTTATTTTTGCAAGTGCTAAGAAGTCTCTCTCTTATAGGAAGGAGCAGTCTTATATATAATCTTACAACACAGTGGAAAAACCCCAGGTGGAAGAGAGTGAGTTTTCCTCCTGCTAGATGTTGATGTCAGTGGGGCAATGCGGGGTCAGTAAGCCAGGACTGGAAAACAGGATGCACCTGTAGCTATCAGCTGACAAGCAATTCAGAGACACTGTGAGGGCTAGGCCCCAACAGTTGATGATGGCATTGTGTGTTCAATTCCCTTCTTTGGGATTTGCTGCTG